GCCTGGCCAATACTATGGGCCAATCTCCTAGACTCCCCAAAATGTGAATGTCTTTGAGATTTAATTTGCATTTCCCTGACTACTGGTAAAGCTGAGTATCTTTTCATACGTTTATTATCAATTTGCATTTCATATTCTCTTATCCTGGACCTGTATTTCTGTCCTATTGGCTTTTTCTGTTCAATTTGTAGGCGCTCTTAGTATATGTACAGACGACATAATCTTTGTGTTTCATACATGGCAAGTCTCCTCACTCTGTTTAGGGTGTATTTTAAACCATACATTTTAATTTTGATTGTAGTAAAATATGTTACATTTTCCTTCCTTGTTTCTAGGCTGTCTTTTAATTCCAATCTATATTTCCTTCTTATATTTTTATAGTGTTGCTTTTTCCATTTAAATCTTAAATCCAGCCTTATTTTTTTTTTTCCACATTTGGGAAAAGCAGGGAGCTTTACTTTTTTGTTTCCAAATGAAGAGTCAATTGACCCCAGGGATTTAAAAATTATTTAACCAACAAAAATGTACACTTTTTTTGGGGGGGGGTGTAGGGATCCAGTATGAAGTTCTTAGGAGAAGCTGTGGTCCCTGTGGCTGGACCTGGCAGATTTTTTTTTTAATTGCCAGAGGACACGAAACAGAAAGAGAGAGAGAGAGAGAGAGAGAGAGAGGATGCCCCACGGAGGCACGGTCATGCCACAATCTTTTTCCCTCCACTTCCCCACTCATCAGGATTTTAGGCACGCATGCCTATGTTCCTCGTGTATTTTTTCAAGCCGTCGCGGCTAGAACTGTGGTCGTCCATGCAGGATTTGGCTCGCTCTCAATGCGCAGATCCCAGCCACTGCACCCCAAGGTCGGCCCTCTGCAGATCTTTGGGGTCCTAATCTGGAAAGAAAGCATCTAGAGGTTGTTGCTCTAGCCAGTTAGGAATTCACCCTTCTGAATCTGCATGTGTACGTTGTTCTGTTTGTTTTCAGTCAAGGAATTTCTAGACTGAAATATTCTCCTCCCTCACAAATCGCTTTATTTCAGACCTGAATCCTGTGTATACCTCTCCTACTGGTTTATCATTTGTTGAATTAGGTGTCCTTGAGGAACTCAAGACAGTGCCTTCACCCACCTTTTCTAAACCTTCTGTGGGGCTCAGGGCACAGTCAGTGGGTGGTTGTTCTAGTCTGTTTTACGCTGTTATAACAATGCCACAGACTGGGTCATTTATGAAGAAAAGGATTTATTATTTATTTATTTATTTTCCATTCATTTGCTGTACGTCACTGCAGCGTACAAAATGAGCCTTCCCACCCAGAATACACTGCATATTGGCTCAATGAGAGATATTACCATATATGCTATCGTCAACAAATCATTTTCCATTTTTTGTTTTTTATGTATTTTACTTCTTTTTTTTTTCCTCCTTGATTCCCTCCCTCTGACCCTCTGCCGTTTCCCACCTCCTCCCACACTATCTCTGGTATCTACAGTTGCTTTCCATGAAGAAAAAGAATTTATTTCTCAGCTTGGAGGCTAGGAGGTCCAAGATCAAGGTGCTGACTGGCATCCAGTGAGGGTCTCGGTGCTGGAACACCCAGTGTGGAAGGTGAGAAAGAAGGAAATCCAACCCAGCAGCCTCAAACCCTGCTATGATTGCCATTAATCCATTCACAAGAGTGGAGTCTTCCTGACCTAAATACCTGCCATTAGGTCCCACTTCCCAAAACTATTACATTGGGGATCAAGTTTCTAACGCATGCTTTTTTGGGGGGACACATTCATACCTTAGCGGAACTGAACCAAACCGTGGTTTAGAAACCATCTACAGATTTGCTTCTGTGCTCACTTAGTCTGAGAGGGGCTTTTCGGGCTTCTCTGCAAGCATACTAAGATCAGGCATTAGAAAGTTTTCTCTGTGTACAGAGGCTTTTATCTACCCGCTTGCAAATGAAGGTAGCCAATAAATATTTGTTGGATTTTATCATTCTGCTAACCTTCGTATTCAGACTTGTCAGTCAGTAATTACTGGCTGCATTAAAAGCAGGAGATTAGAGATTGAGGTCTGGGAAGGACAGATGATTCGCTCTGAGGTTCTCAGAGTAATCACGTCTCCTGCCCCTCTGTCTCCTCTTTTTCTGTTACACACCTTGTCCTTCAATAGAGGGTGAATGGTGTAAAGGGCAGCGATCTGCTGAGGCAGGGAAGGGTAAGACTTCTAAATGCGGCTCCTGGGCCCATCTTGGCTTATTTTCACAGCCCTACCATATTGGGAGGGACGGAGGGCAGGGGGCTCTGAGTGTCTGGGGCTGCTGCTGAGGATCTGAAGAGGATTTGGGGGTCAAACTCATTTCTCTTCCTTTTAGCTGTTAATACAGGCAAAGGATCTTGGGAGATCTGGAGGCCTTAGAAGGACACATCCAATGATCTCCGCTGTGAACCCTGTCATTGAGTTACTTACTGTACAGTGGGTCCCTGGCCCCCTCCGACCCTTCTGGTCTTTACTCCAAGAGCTCACAGGTGAGCCAGGAAGACTGAGCTTGTCTCCCAGCAGTCTCAGAGGGAGGTGGGTATGAAACAAGTAGTTGTAGGCTTGTATCATTACAAATAGAGGCAAATGCCGGAAAAGCCCAGATGCTTGGAGTGCCAGCAGCAGGGGGGCTCAGCTTAGTTTAGAGGTTAGGGAAAAACAGAGGAGGAGGTGTTACAGGCCGTTTCCCACCTCCTCCCACACTATCTCTGGTATCTACAGTTGCTTTCCATGAAGAAAAAGAATTTATTTCTCAGCTTGGAGGCTAGGAGGTCCAAGATCAAGGTGCTGACTGGCATCCAGTGAGGGTCTCGGTGCTGGAACACCCAGTGTGGAAGGTGAGAAAGAAGGAAATCCAACCCAGCAGCCTCAAACCCTGCTATGATTGCCATTAATCCATTCACAAGAGTGGAGTCTTCCTGACCTAAATACCTGCCATTAGGTCCCACTTCCCAAAACTATTACATTGGGGATCAAGTTTCTAACGCATGCTTTTTTGGGGGGACACATTCATACCTTAGCGGAACTGAACCAAACCGTGGTTTAGAAACCATCTACAGATTTGCTTCTGTGCTCACTTAGTCTGAGAGGGGCTTTTCGGGCTTCTCTGCAAGCATACTAAGATCAGGCATTAGAAAGTTTTCTCTGTGTACAGAGGCTTTTATCTACCCGCTTGCAAATGAAGGTAGCCAATAAATATTTGTTGGATTTTATCATTCTGCTAACCTTCGTATTCAGACTTGTCAGTCAGTAATTACTGGCTGCATTAAAAGCAGGAGATTAGAGATTGAGGTCTGGGAAGGACAGATGATTCGCTCTGAGGTTCTCAGAGTAATCACGTCTCCTGCCCCTCTGTCTCCTCTTTTTCTGTTACACACCTTGTCCTTCAATAGAGGGTGAATGGTGTAAAGGGCAGCGATCTGCTGAGGCAGGGAAGGGTAAGACTTCTAAATGCGGCTCCTGGGCCCATCTTGGCTTATTTTCACAGCCCTACCATATTGGGAGGGACGGAGGGCAGGGGGCTCTGAGTGTCTGGGGCTGCTGCTGAGGATCTGAAGAGGATTTGGGGGTCAAACTCATTTCTCTTCCTTTTAGCTGTTAATACAGGCAAAGGATCTTGGGAGATCTGGAGGCCTTAGAAGGACACATCCAATGATCTCCGCTGTGAACCCTGTCATTGAGTTACTTACTGTACAGTGGGTCCCTGGCCCCCTCCGACCCTTCTGGTCTTTACTCCAAGAGCTCACAGGTGAGCCAGGAAGACTGAGCTTGTCTCCCAGCAGTCTCAGAGGGAGGTGGGTATGAAACAAGTAGTTGTAGGCTTGTATCATTACAAATAGAGGCAAATGCCGGAAAAGCCCAGATGCTTGGAGTGCCAGCAGCAGGGGGGCTCAGCTTAGTTTAGAGGTTAGGGAAAAACAGAGGAGGAGGTGTTACAGGCTTTTGCAAAGGTGGCGTGTTTTACATATGTGAAGGAAATAATAATAATAAAGGTGCCTGGAAGGGCAGTTCAGCCTCAATCCTGGGCCACTTCCTAGGATTCTGGGAATCTGCCTCGCTTCCCAGAATTATGTAGGCATCTCAGGCCAGCCCTGGAAAGGCCTTCACAAATGCTAATACGTGAGCATTTTATGGGTTGCTCCCTGACCCTCAGCACCCTTCTCTTTAACTCCTTCCGAAGCTGAGGGAGGAGGGAGTGGTGTGTCAGTGAGGAGGGAAAAAGAGGGATGGGGAAACCCTCCCATCCCAACCACAGTTCCAGCTTCCTCTCTCAAACCCGAGGAAGGGTTTTCAAGGCAAAATCCTAGCTCACCTTTTATTTGGTTGTATAGGGACTGACTAGAAGTCCCCGGTGGTTCTTAATCCCTGAGTCTACCTGCCCAAAAAACACATCTGTAAAAATGTTGGCTAGTTAAGATTTAATAGCGGTGGGATGGGAAACGGCAAATTCTAGACAGAAGGGTGTTGATTTCCCCAGAAGCCTCATCGTGACTGTAGTCATAGCTGACACACTTATGGGCTGTGCACAGCTCTGAGCCACCAACTCCCTCTCCCAGTTGAGGTAACCGAGACACGGAGGCTGGTGTGACAGCGGCTTTCCTTGCGCCTCCCACATTTTGGAGTCGAGGTTTTTAAGCCGAATTTGGTCTCCAGGTGTCGACGGCAGTTTCTTCTAGGTGAACCAGATCCGCCTATTTCGGGAGAATGCGGACTTTGAGAAGGTCAATCTGGGAGCGGTGGGGACGGCTGTAGCGGACGCAGGCCCATGGCTTTCGGAACCAAGCCGTCCCGCAGCCACCCTCTGCGGTGGAGAAGACGGGCTGGCAGTCCCGCGGGCGCTGTGGGAGATTTGCAGAATCGCCCCACTCCAGCCCAGCGCCGAGCCCCGCAGCTCCGCTTTCTGCTCCGCCTCCGCGAGGTGTCGCCTTCGGCCGAAGAAACCACCGCGGCGCCACCCTCGTAGCCTGCACTTATTTATTTATTTTCGAACAAGGGGGAGGGGGGGCTTTCCTCCTTTCCATTGGAAACTAGAAACATCCTGCAGTCTGGTTCCTAAATGGGCGCGTCCTGTCCCCTTCTGCACCCCGGGTCTAGCCCGCTTCGGAGATTACAGTCGAACAAGCCCTCCGCCGGGCTTTGCTTGGCGCCGGCCTCGCTCTCAGCTGCACAGACGCAGTCAAGGCGGGGGCAGGTTAGACGCCTAGGCTCCCCCTCCCCAATCCACACCCCCGGAGCCCTCCGGGAGAAATTTTTTAATGCCAAGCAATTGCCAGGCCCGCCGGGTCGGTGCTGCATTGCACCGCTCAGTACGCAGCTGGCTTGCAGAGTGCACCGAGTGCAAGCCCGGGGGTCCGAAGGGCGGGAGGAGCACGCCCCGGGCTTCCCAGCTCTGCAGCCTTCTCTCTGCAAAGAAAAGCAAGTGGCTTTTGGCGCGAAAGCCTTGGCGCCTCCCCTGATTTTTATGGAAATCAAGAGGGCGGGGTAAAGCCGCTTTCCTCTGCCTTTCTCCCTCCCCCTGGTCTGCGCCTCAGCCCCCTTCTCTCCCCGCCCCCCGGGTGCCCACCCGGAGACCCCAGCGCAGAATCGCCTCTGAATCCCCAGCAGTCAGCGGAGGTAAGCAGCGGGGCTTGCAAACCGCCGGGCGCCCGGGGAGCGGCGAGCGCCGGCCGCCGCCAGGCAAGCCCTGGACCCGATCGCGGCTAGCGCACCGGGCGGCCGCCCGAATGTGCCCAGGGGACTGTTTCTGCTTCCGAAACAAAACCGTCTCGGGGTTTTCCCTGAAAAGCCAGTTCCAGCCCCGAAGGCACCCGGACTAGAAGAGACCCGCCCTAATCCTTTTACAGCCCGTGCCAGTGGGGAGTAATGGCTTCAGCGAAAAGAAATTCACCCTGCTCTAGAAGATTTTTGTATGTTTGAGCTGACCGGGAGCTGGTGCGTCCCCGCCCCAAGCTGGGGTTCTCTAAAGGGTGCCCCGGGAGGAAGAAGGGGGGGTTAGGTGGGATGAGGCCGCCGCGGTGGTAATCTGGGTCACTGCTGCTCCAGCTCCGAGACGCGGTTCGCCCGCGACCCTCCCTGCACTGGCGCCCCTGCACCATTCCTGAGAACCGAGTGTCTGCCTCCCCCCTCCCCAGGAGAAGGAGGTTGTGGGG